CCCTGGCAGGCACTTTGTATTTTTTAGGGGGGTACATTTTGGCAGAAAAATGTCTTAAGGGGGGGGCAGCTGAAGGCTATCTCGCTTATTAGAAGATCAAATGTTACCAAATTCCACACAAAATATAACAAGCACAGTAAGGAGTCTTAAAATTATCCAGAATCAAAATTGAGAAAGAAAAATTAGTTTCCATGGATAAGGTGGCCAAATTGGATTTTGTTGATGTCTTACGTAATTAATATCACACTTAGATTTCATGGAATTAAATTGGATTTTTTGTATGCATTTTGGCAAAAAATAGATCTACAAATCTGTGTGATGAATTTTGACTAAATGTGCTTGAACATTTTTAATTAATTTTTTCCTGCGGTAGTATTCACGTTTGCAAAATATCCATGAAAGTCCACACTCCAAGCACCACCAATAAAAACTATTCCGTACATCAAAAATGCATGACACAGAGAGAGTTTTAGTATTACACCTTTTCTTCATTCTGAGAAAATACCATTAAGATTGGATGAAAAATGGTGGAGTCATTTTTAAAAAGTATTTAAAAACCATGTTTTGAGAAAACGGGTTATAAAGAAAAATAAAAGATTGACTTTATGAGAAAATGGTGGTGACAAACATGCCCAGTACAGGAAGAAAGAAGGCTTTAGGGGGTTCTTAAGCGATGAAACAGTTGTAAGAGAGGCTGAAGAAGCTAAAAATGCCTACAACTTAAAATCCATAGTTTTGAGCCGAATCGGGACTTTCAGGGTGCCGATCCCCCCCCCCCCCCCCCCTTAAACTTTACTAAGAGGGATACAGCATCCAAGCACGAAAGAGTCTTATAGTCACTAAAACTTGTTAAAAAGATCAAAGCTAACATGTCAAAACTGTACACATACATAGTAAGAAACGCAAAACGGTAGATTAAAAACCATAATTGTATACTTTTTATTAGGAAGAAAACAACCCCTATATAGAATTCAGGTTGGGTCCTTGTGTGTGAGTTTAAGAATATGTGTGTGTGTGTGTGTGTGTGTGTTTGTGTGTGTGTGTGTGTGTGTGTGTGTGTGTGTGTGTGTGTGTGTGTGTGTGCGTGCGAGCGTTCAGGCATGCAAGCTTGTATTACATAGGCCTACATGCTTGTCAAGTGAAAGCCACAGGACACCTACTGTGTCTACACCTATATGTAAATGTGTTTGAACATATGTATGTAATAAAAAAGGACAGTGCTATCACAGTGATAAGCTCTAAAAATAAGTTAGCTGTGTCTGCAACTGTTTTAAAATGAGCAGTAAGAATATATAATAAAAGTACCATGAAAAATTTCATCAGTTAAATATTATCTTATCAAAAGGCACCTCCACTGACTGAAACCAAACAATCAGAGAATATACGCAGACAAACGAAAGCATACATAAATAGTGGCTGCTCACAACAAAGCTGGTCCAGATGGTAAAACGATTCAGAATTGGTATGCATCAACTCTGTATAGAGATATGAAATTATGTTAAAAAAGAACAGATAAACAAAGCATCAATTAAAGGCCCATTTGGAACATCTTAATTCTTAAGAAACATAATAAGACAAAGCAACAGGGAGCAGGATGTTAAAGAACAACCCCAAATGCACACTCACAAAAAGATACATTTTTTAAAGAGTACACACGCACTCATTGAAATCTAAAGAATCTAAACATGCATTGTGAGCTGCCTCTATGACAATTTTGAAATAAAAACCTGACGCAATGTAAGAGCTCACAAAGTTAGTATATCACAGGAGGAAATATCTAAATACATGTATGTGTACAAAAAAAAAAGAGCTGTTCATTACTTTTACCAATACATTTGGGGCAGGCAATAGACAGCATGAACTGTGTAAAACCGGAAAAAACTTGAGACTGGGCAAAGACAAGAGAGCCATTTTGTGGTGTGACATACCAACTGTCAGGAGTCTCGGAGATGAAAAGTCTTTTCGTTTTAGTAAGAGAAGAGTTTTACAGCGCTTGCAAAACAATAAGGTAATGAAAATGCCATAGATTAGAGGTGTTACAAGAGAGCAACAAACACATAAAAGAAGGAGGAGAGATAAGGATGATAGATAGATGTCAGATAAGAAAAAAGGTGCAAACAACACCAGAGCACCCGGCAGCCATCTACAGATGTATAGTCAAAGGACCCAAAGTAGCAAAGTGTTTAAGTTGGAATGAGCACAGAAACAAAATTTATAACACAGAATTTCAAAAGTTTAATTCTTATACTTTTCACCAAAGCCAGAATGGCTCAAGAATAACCTTTGTAATCACAGACTCTTGCCTTTCTGCTCAACAAACCATGCACAGAGACATGTCATACCCAAACACATTTCTTGCACAGTTCACATGATTAAGAGTACAAAACAGCTACGGAGGTATCTTATTCTACTACTGCAGAAATTATGCGAGGTATTCACAAATTAAGTACACCCAGTGCCCACAATAAACATATGCTTTCATAACTCTGAATGAAAAATGACTTAGAGGAATAAAAAAGATTGGGAAATATTTTCTCGGAAAGATATAAAAGTGAGCAAGCTGACCATTGACCAGTAGATTGATGCACCACAAACATCGAACATTTGTGAGACATCATGGTGAAAGACAGGCGCCTGTCAAAATAATGAAATCAAGGAAACCAGCATTTTCCGCCGGTTTGCCAATCTTTATCAGATTTTTGTTTTTTGGCTCAACAACTTTCATATTCATTTTATTAATACATTTCTGTGTGGATGTTACTCAAAAACACTGACTTTAAAAAATGCAAATTTGCAGCTTCCTAGGACTCTCAAACTTTGGAAGTCGCCAGCTTAAGGGGCGAATTTCTCTATAATTTTACCTCAAGACTATGCAACCCCCACCTCATTCAATCCCAAATATCTCAACTTCTATTCAAGATAGTTGAATATTTTTAAAATCTAAAGCAAGACAAATGAACAAGATTTAATAGCTCCCCAAGCCCAATACCTGATGAGCACCTGATTCCATGGCATCATGACACATTTGATCACTGCTAGCAGTTCATGAAAACCTGTAACTTTCCTTTCACTGTGGTAGAGTACAAAGGACTGCATAATCCATGACAGACAAAGGTCTCTACGTGTCATTCAATACATTTTCTTTTTCCCCAACAATCTTATTTTTGCACTTAATAATATATTATGTCATAATAAAATTATATCCACCAAAGATAGCAAAGTGTGGATACTAGTACAGTTTCTTTCATTCTTGAATTGGTTAAATATGACTACATACAGTGGAAACCACATATAACAGGCCCGGTAATAACGAGGATCCGGAAATAATAGGTATTGTTTAAATCCCCGTTTTTTCCTACTCTTTGTCTCTATTAAAAGTAATCGGCAATAACAGGGCCTCATCGGAGCCTAATCGGTTATAGCAGGGACAAAGGCTCGTTAACAACGTGTAAAAAGTAAGAGAGAGAGAGAGAGAGAGAGAGAGAGAAAGAGAGAGAGAGAGAGAGAGAGAGAGAGAGAGAGAGAGAGAGAGAGAGAGAGCGTGTGTGTGTGTGTGTAATGCAGTGATGGAGCAAGCCCACACAAACAAGCGACACCACTGCAAGCACACGCAGCGGTGAAGCGAGAGAGGACTGCGGTGTGCTGGCAGACTTCGATCCAGCCCTAAGCCTAGCTACAAGCACGCATAATGTGTCATGTGCAGGCCTGCCACATAGCCACAAGAGAGGACTGCGGTGTGCTGTTCTTGTGTACTTGTGGCAAGGGAAATTACCAATAAATAAATACAGCTGGATTAGTCCACAAATGCTTACTTCCCTTGCATTTCTGATTTAACAGGGATCTGATACAATAGGACTTTTTCTCTGGTCCCATCATCCCAGTTACATTAGGTTTCCACTGTAAGTGTATGTACAGTGGAACTCGGATTCAACAAGGTCGTCGGGCCTGACCTAAAATCTCGTTGAATCCGAGTGTTCGTTACTGCAAACACGAGGTTTTGTGTAGATAATTACAGGCACTGAGCAAGTAATGTACAAGAGAAGTCATAAGTAGTGCCTGAAATGCCTGCATATTATGAGCTGTGTAAAAAAAAAGACCGATTCGTTCAAATACACATGCCTGTGTAATCTCGATTGTTTACCACAAAGTTGTGTTGCTGTAGAGCCTAGCATACGGCAAATTTTGATTCCATAGACCAGCGCACAATTCAGTACGTAGATCTACGTCAAGACTAGCTTATTATTAATTATTGTAATATTGATCAGTTGCCGAGGGAAAAAAAGACTATGACACGTTTGTATGCGACGTTCAACACCCGGACCGCAAGTGCCCCCTCCCCGACACGCACTCACAGTCATACGTGTGCAGGCCGCCCATTCGACCCAGACACACGCCTGAGTAGACACATGCACGTGCCAACTTCACATGTGTTGGTATTTAAGAAGGCCGCTGATTGGTCGCATGCAATCGGTTAAGTGAATAATGGTTCACGATGCAGGTGCAATGGATGGTTTTCGAGAATAGATACAGTTTGTTCGGGGAGAAAAATTAGCGAAGCCAAGTCTGCGGAGGCTGTTCACCCTGGAAGCGACCTCGTTTAATCCGAGCTCGCTGATTTAAGTACTCGTTGAATCCGGGTTACTTTTATTGATTTTAAAGGAAAAAAAACCCAGGGAATTTATCTCATCTCGTTGAATCCGAGTTCTCGTTGAATCCGAGCTCGTTAAATCCGAGTTCCACTGTATAAAAAAAAGACAACTAAGAGGAGTAACAATCCAAAAGATAGCTATGTACAAAGCTGACTGTATATACAGTCGACAGAGTCTACTCAAAGTAGCAGACTTTACACTTTTGCTTTCTACTCCATATTCCTAGTAAATAATATGTGACATTGTGAGCTGCTGATGTGAAGTCAAGTAAGAGTAGACAACAAGAAAAGGGGAGACATAAAAAGCTCCAGGTATAAAAATATGTAGTGCATATAAAAAAACAAACTGATATGTCTTTATGTCTTTATTGCCAAATATGCTCTCTCACACACACACACACACACACACACACACACACACACACAAATAAATACCTACCCAAGAGAAAAAATGCTATGAGTTTGAAACACTTTACCAAGTGTGACACATGTTTTCAGAAAAGAAAGAGAGAAGGTAAGAATTCGATCTGACTCTAAGTTGACCTTTATCATACTTTATGAGGACAGTATTTGCTCCTACACAAAGAACTCAACAGACTAGGATCCATCGCAGAGTAGAACTAAGCCCTTGAAGAGCTGGGAAAGTTCATCAACTAACAGCAATGTGGCAAGAGGAAGATATAATAAAAATTATTCAAATATCAAAACTTCAAAATGTTATATTGGCATTAGGAGGCCTAAAATATTGTGAAATGTTCGAAACAATTATCCTTTATGGCAAATTTTATACAAACATAATAGAACTATTACAAAAAACTGTAACAAATTCATTTTGTTTCATTGTTGTAATAAAAAAGAAAGCCAAATAAATCCTAATAATTGCACTCCAGAACAATAACAGTACATACACACAACATATAGCCAAATAAAAATAAACAAAAAACAAATTGATTGAAAGGAATCCACTCAAAAGGAAACTAATTGTAATGATTAATGAATGCACAGCGAGGTAAAAAAGAGGAGTCCAATCCCCATTATCGCTAGCCAGCTGTTCAGGTAAAGTTAGCCTAAAATTATGATACAAATTTTTATTTACTGATTCTTAATCTGTTGTGTACCTTGCATGTGACCGAAAAACATTTGTCCAAATTTGATTTCTAAAAGTTGAAAAAAGCAAGAAAAGATACACAATGTAGGTGCAATTTTTCAACAGATTTACTTTATCTCTAGGAAAATTTCGTTTTCTGGGCGTAGACCAGTTGACCAGCTTGCCTGCAATATGAATTCCACTACAATTTTCATGGCCTCTATTTCCTTCTAATGAAGGTCATAACAGTACACTCAATCATTTCAATTATGTTTATACTATTGACTTTGAATCAGTCTGTGACTCACTGCACAAAAAATTCAACAAACCTCGAAAGTTCTACAAAATACTTAAAATCTAGTCTAAAGTTAAAGTCCAATTCCAATTAAAGAAAAGTCTGAAAGAAACATGTACGTCATTTGATCTTATTCAATCCATCTTCAAAAACAGAGATTTGAACAGGATATTTATAACATTTGATCTTATTCACAGCCTGTGCTCAACAAATCAAGAGTTCAACAAAACATTTATATCATTAAGAACAGATCATATTCACAGTCTGTACTCAACAAATAAAGAGTTCAACAAGACATTTATATCATTAAGAATTGATCATATTCACAGTCTGTACTCAACAAATAAAGAGTTCAACAAGACATTTATATCATTAAGAGTTGACTATATTCACAGTCTGTACTCAACAAATAAAGAGTTCAACATCACAGCAAGACGTCGGGAGTTATTCTTGAGGGTTCTGCCCCCCAACCAGGCCAGAAGCAGTGTTCAGAAGGTTGATCGGGCTGTTACCATCAGTCAGCAAGACGCTCTCGAGGCCTAGACCTTTCAGCAAGTTCACCTGATGAGGTGAAAGGTTGAAATTTAAAAAATCAATTTCAACTACTCATTGGGAAATTTTTTAAAAGCCAACTATGAAATTAAGGAAAGGGAAAAAGTAGGTTGAGTACTTCATACTGAATTAAAGAAAAAAAGAAAAAGAGGAAGTTAAAAGAAGGGAGCACTTGCCTTCAGGGTAAACTTCATACTTATGAAGTCACTTTCAAATAAGAAAAGAACAAGACCAAATCGTTTCTGCATAAATGACTTACACCTATAATATACTATTGCTGCAAACAAATTTGTAAACATTCAAAGAATGGCCAAAAAGGGTGAAATATCTGGGAAAAAAGGATGAAAAGATGATACCAACCTGACTTTCAGGTCCTGCATTTGCTATGGCAACAAGGGTATCAGTCCCAAGGGTTTGAACCATTTGACGGAACTTGTTAGTCTGCAATACAAGAATAAAATTTGGATACGATAAGAATATAAGGTAAAATACTGGTTTTTCCCATATACAACACTATTTAACTCACTGACTACTGTCATCGCAAAACTTGAGATGTTTTTTCACAATGCCTGACTACTGCCATTTCATTTGTTGCCACATCAAACTTCAGAATTGTTTTTCTAATACTGGCAACCCAACTGTCATGATGCGGACAGTGATCAAAGTTGTAACCATTCCCATTTCCATTAAATCAAAGTAGAAGTCTCTAACATGAAATGTTTCATTCAGATTTATGATTTTCTTGTTACTGTTACCCGTAACATTATCTGTGTGATAATGGGGGGGGGGGGGGGTTGACGGCGAGAAGTTAAACAGCATAATCCTACTTGCTGGCTCATTAAGCGCAGCAATGACAATGATATCCATCCACTAAAAAACAAAAATTTACCTTTATATGAAACTAGTGGCAGATCTTCGAGTCAAAATCTGTCACTTCAGTTAAATCAGTGAATAAAACTTCAGTTCAGCAAACCTCTGGCTCTAAATCTTGCAACGCACCTAGACCTACGGCAAATATATTTCATTTATTCCCTGCTAACTATAGCTGTTTTAGTCCATTAGATTCAGAGACTAATAACAATAATAGTTTGTCCAATAATGTCCGACGAGGACAATGGTATATCCTCTTAATGTGTGTCAGTAACATATTCTTAGTCATGTAATGTTCGAAGAGGAATGAAACAAAGTGAAAAAAATTGAGGATAAATTAGGGTCAAATAAAGAAATTAAAGCCCCAAAATTAATTATGATAACCCCTTTTTGATCATTTCAAAACAAACCATACTTGTATAGATATAGAACACCTTCTGTGAATGATTTTTTGAATAAGTATGGACAAAATTAATGTTTTTAAAATACCTTTCATTTGACTAGTCACTAGGGGTCAATCCAGGAGAAAATTGCAGTTAGTCCGTGAATATCAAGACCAGGGAAGCTGGGCCTTATGGCGGGAGTTACGGGAAGCCATTAACAAAATGTCAATCATTCAAGGTCAGTTCCTTACGTGCCTTCAGTTTCAAACAGACCCCAAATGAATTTCTCTAAAATGGGAAAAATGATGAAAACTTTTTCCCACACCATTTAAAACAGGATACAAAGAATGAATATTGTCTAAAAGGCATACCTCAAGTTGTGCAAATGCATTCTCTTTGCCAATGGTGATAGAGTTCATTTTCTTCTGATAGTCCAATGTTTGCCTCCGCAGCTGTGAATAAGATCAAAATAATATCATTAAAAACTATTACTAAAGTTTTCAAAAGACAAAGTACGAGATTGTTTATTCCATATTGTCCTTCCTTCTTGTTAGGCAAACACTCACTTAAGTCCGCCTGCTCATAGCTCTCTTCGTGGTGTTTCCCAATGACAAAGAAGAGCAGTTAAAAAAAACTTATTTTTTTTTTTTTTTAAAACAAACACTTATAAAGGAAACATCTCTAAAATAAACTTCTAATCAGCAGCTCTCTCACTCAACTTAATTTGTACTTCAACTGATTCCCACATTTAACGAGTAATATATTAACTAAATACCATATCAGACTGAATTATCATTTATCTAAATAACGCAGCACATAGGAGCAGAAATCTAATAAAATCCACACTGCCAGACTCTGACCTTATTCTCAAACTGTAGCTTGGCATCATGCTCTATCTGTGAGGCTTCAGCCTTCAGTCTGGCAGCTAGAATGAGAAATACATACGGGTTACTTCAGGACAAGCAGTCTATCTAAACAAAATTCAAGCAGAAATGATTTATAAGATAATCAATCTTTTAAAACAAACACAAGAGGACGAAAACATAAATTCACACTCTGCATGTGTTTTCAATAAGACATAACGTTTGAGATTTGGGGATGTGGGCACCAAGAAAAGCACAGTGGAAATTGTCAACAAACGATGATTTGCCAGTTTGTAAAAACTAGCCAAATTATGCCATGTGAAATTACTCCAAACCAAGCCGTGTACATAGGAAGGCAGGCCTTTAGTAATCTACCTATAAAGTGGCCCTAAGCAAGACAAATAACGATTTGGTTTCTATTGTACATCCTTAAAAAGTTGTATTTCTATTTTAAAACAAACCATAAAACAACAGTCGTACCTGGAGGGGGTCAAGTACTTTCTGTAAATCACTGCAAAAAGAAGTAGATTATTTTGCACCAGTTACAACCAGTCTACTTTTATTTAATGACTCATCCCATTCAAGCATAGCCCCAGTGTGTAAAATCTTGGTGTAAAGAGGCACGTACCATCAATCTGACTCTGGCACTCGATGAGGAATCTCTCAGCCTTGGCTTGAGCCTCAGCCTTGGCCTGTCCCGTGGATTCAACAGCTGATGCCAAGGCCCTCAGCTCGTACAATTTTGCCCTTTCTCGCTCAGACTCTTTCTCCGTTACCAAAATTTGTCTCTCCAGGTGCCCTTTGGCAATCTGTTCTTCCCTTTGAGCTTCATGTGATGCAGCTGCTTCAATAGAACTGGGTTGGAAAAATACAAAAATGCTTTTGTTCTTCGGCGCTGGCAAATTTCTAATAGGCTACTAAATTTATTTATATTTCATTTTGATCTTTCACAGTTGAAAAGTATTATCAATGAGGAAATAAACAGCAAAAATGTACAACTCTGGACAAAACATATCATCTGAATAATACATAAAAATCAACATCAGTGTTCTTATAGTTTTGCCTCTTAAATTGAAACACAAGGAGGGCTGGTTGCAGGAGAAAAGTTGCAGGAGAAAAGATACTAAGACAAGGTAATGAGATACACTTGATCCCACCAAGTAATTTCCTACAAAAGCCCAATAACAATTATTAATACAGCATTGAAGGCCACTTTAGGTCACATCATTATCAAACAAAGGGGCACAATACTTTCAAATTTATCGGCCCTACCCTTACCAAAATGTCACATTTATTTCGGTGTATCATCTCTGCCTTCCATTATCATTATCTACTTTTTCCCTTTATTATTATGTAAAACCACTCAAGGAATCTCCCCCCCCCCCCCCTTTAACCCTAGCCTACTAACCAAAGAGATCTCTACATTTGTTTCAGAAAAATGTATTCGATACTAATGCACAAATCCTTCCAAAACACAACTGAACAATAAATAAAGCTATTTTTAAGTGCAAATTTTTCTTTACTTGTGAACCTTCTCACTGACACAAATCACTGCTGAAAAGAGTTAGAAAACAATTTTTAAAAAGTCCTACTGAACTCACTTTGTAGCAATTTCAATAGCAAGCTGCACTGATTTGCTCAAACTGTCTCTCATCTTGGCATCAGAGGGTTCAATGCTCTGAACATCAATGCCACTGATAACCTAGTGAAGAAATAACCAATCACACACAGAACATGAAAAGGAGTAAAACTCATGGGCCTCAACTCAGAATTTTAAAAAAGGAGGAACTTTCCTCGTGATCGTGACAGAAGACCATTTTTGCGAGACACCCATTATCATTATACTGTAAAACCCTAGAATGCTGAAAAAACCCCCACCAATTTATCAAAGCAAGGTTATTTCATACCAATTTGAGGGTATGGAAGATGATTTCAAGTAAAAGAGTAGCAGTAACTGAGTTTAGCGGAGGAAATGGTGGTAGCGGGAATCCACTAAATAGCAGAATATTGAGACCCATAAAAACTAAACGGCAGAGGATGGTGGGAGGGGGAGAGGGATGGGGAGAAACAAGTTGATTAAAGACAAAATGACACAATGAGGACAGTGTTGACAACAAAGTAAAGAATGTTCCCTTGGACCTATGAACAAATTTCTCATTTATTTAAGATCTTGATCCCCTTGGGCAGGTCCCCCAGCATAAATCATTTTAAAAAGTGGTCAGCCATCTTCAACATATTCAAGATTTCGATCATTTGAATTGACACCCCCATCCCCAACCCCCCATACATATCTTTGCCCAACCTATTTTCCACGCACTTCAAAATGAGATGCACTTTAACAATCATCAACATACAGTAGTAAGTTATAACAAAGGGTGGGACAAAAATCTGTGGATGGGGATAAATGGAAACGACACAGAGCGTGTTATTCAGGCCAGTTGTTGCTGTTGTTGTTGTTGTTATCGATCCAGCAACATCTGGGCTCTCGCCCTTCTGTCCAATGCCATGTAGTGATAAGTGCAGGTTTGCTGCAGTTGCTGTAATGTTCCGTAGAGTGTGTTGTCGAAGTTAGGTCTCGGAGGGAGAAGGGTAGCTCTGATGTCATTTAGGGCTGTACAGTGGAAAAGGTGATGTTCCACTGTCTCATATGCATGGTCACACAAAGGACACATTGGGGGAAGTTCTGGTTTTATTCTGTTTAAGTGAAAGTTGAGCTGTATATGTTCTGTTCGTAGGCGGAAGATCGTGGTCTGTTTCTTTCTCTGTAGGTGGTTGATATTGTCATTTCGTTTTGTTGTAGTCATATGTTTGAAAACTGCTCTGCCCGTCTTTCCCAAGGCCCATCTGTTCATCCAATCTTGTTTGCTGTTGCTTTTAATGATTTGTTTTGCAGTGTGGTATGAAGTTGGAATGTTGGTTGTTCCTGTCTAGATCCCCTTTTGGCGAGTGTGTCTGCTCTGTCATTTCCAGGTATGTTTGAGTGTCCGGGAATCCACTGCATCACCAGGTTGACGCCACAGAATGTTATCAGATGATGGGAGCCAAACAGTATATGTGTCAAGTCTTCATTTAGATGGTGATAATTTTCTATTGCTTGCAAGACTGATAATGAGTCAGTGAAGATCACTATACTCTGGGTTTTGTTTGGATGAGTGTCAAAAACTGTGCGGAGATGGTATAGTGCTGTTTCAATTGCTATCATTTCTGCGTCGTAGTTGTTGCATTTCTCTCCACAGGCTGCAGAGATCTCATTGGAACTTCCATCTGGGTATTGTATTAGTATTCCATATCCGGCTTTGGTTGTGCCTTTGAATGCTGAGCCGTCTGTATAGACCTGTATCCAGTCATCTGAATAGCTGTCGATTGTTTGGTGTGAAAGCATCAACTTCACTGGGTCTGAAGATTTTGTGCTATTGTCTCTAAGAGAAGTTTTAATGATTGGTTTTTCCATAGAAAAGTGAGGAGGGATGTTTTGGTTGACTCTTTTGGTTTCTCTTCTATTTTGTGGTAGGTGGTGGCTCTCCATTAGTTCTGTGATGCGATGCATGACTGATTTTTGTTGAAGTCGTTTCTTTGGTTTCCATGTTTCTACTAATTTCCTGTTTGGGTGGTTGGGGCACATTCTTTTGGTTCTTTCATGAAGCTCCAAAACTGTTTTATCTCTGCGTATTCCCAGGGGTTCAACATTTGACAGAATTTCACATGCGGCAGTAGGTGTAGATCTCATGCCACCATTAATGAAACGAAGGGCATTATTTTGGACCTTGTCAAGGGTATTGCAAGTAGTTGCACTACACGTAGTGAGTAGGCTATTGCTGTATTCCAGGGAAGATCGGACATAACCAAGGTATAGAGCTCTCAGAATTTGTTTGTCTGATCCCCATGAACTGCTCGCAAGTTTCTTTAAAAGTTGGAGTCTTCTTTTCGCCTTGTTCTTTATGCTCTCCACTTGGCTTTTCATTGTTAGACTTTGGTCAAGTTTGACTCCTAGATACGTTGGTTGTTCTTCTTTGGGGAGATTTTCATTTCCTATCTTCAGTTGGAGTTTTTCTTTGGCTATTTTATGGCTCTTTGTAAAGATGGTGTATACTGTTGTCGAGCAGTTTATTTTGAGCTTCCATTTCTGACAGTAATTGTGGAGCCTCTTGAGGTCTTCATTTAATTTTCCTGCTCCTACTACCGTGCTGCGATGTGTCTGCCAGAGAGCAAGATCATCAGCGTAGAGAGTCTTTTCTGATTTCAACACGTTCGTCACATCATTAATGAAGATCAGGAACAAAGTGCAACTCGGAGAGGAACCTTGGGGTAGGCCCTCCTCGAGTACTTCTCTTGATGAGTGGGCATTGTTCAGGCCAGTAGGAGTTAAGATTATATCAATAACTCCACTTGCCCAAACATTGACAAGCGACTGATTTCACAGCACCATGACACATATGAGGAGTGAAATCCTGACTCTTCATGAAGGGAAACATTGTATCATCACTCTCTTCAAAAACCTTCAATACTTCTACAAACCAATCAGTAGTCTAATAAATATATTTTCATTCCCATTTCTTTTGTACAAACATACAGCAGTGCAAGTGGACTTGATACATCATCATCATCATCCAGTGCCTTGCCGACTGGATTGGGCGATCATGGACCTCCACTTCACTCTGTCTTGTGTTGCAGCAATGGTGTCTGTTGTTCTTGCTGCTCCCAGCCATGTTGTCATCTTGTCCAGTATCTTTTCCCTCTATCAGCCTCTGCCTCTCTTTCCACCAAACTTGCCTGTTGTTACAATATTCTCCAATGCTTCTTTCCGCATTGTGTGTCCAAAGAAATTTGCCTGTCGCTTTATACATATTCATGAAAAAAAAAAGGTGTGGTTAGACCTCTTGGGTCCTTTTACATGCAGTATGACTCACCAGATTGTTCACATCAAATCTCAAAGACTGCTGCTTCCCAAACACTGCTGCTTGTATGAGCTGGGCAGAGTGGCGGTGGAACTCGTCAAAAGTAATCAATGCAACCGAGGCACGGATACGGCTAGCTGAAGAGGCATAAAAAAGGTCACACTGTACACTCTATTCAATGAGTCTGAGATGTCTCTAATAATGGCATATCAAAACACTGAGTACAAAAAATCCTTAGAAATAAAAAATAAAACAAAAACAAAAAACTATATACTCTGCAGATATCATTACCAGTCCGACATAGTACAATTTTAGTACAAACCAAAGATGACACAAAACAACATTATTTGTGAATCTACTTTGCTGGGATTGCTAGAAAAAGAAGTTTAAGAAAAAAACAGCAACCCAAAACTATTCTACTACACAGCTAAGAGCCATCAACCAATATTTTAGGAAAAATTATACCCTAAAATTGCACAAAAACAATTCTTTTAAAAAAGAGTCATCCAAAGCTAGATTTAATTGTAAGATTGATGAATGCTAAATATTGCAACATCATTTCTTTAAAACTACTCATCATTTCTCATTTAGTAGAGGTTTTACGGCGCTCGCAGCTGCATAAGGTCATATGAGCGCCAATCATCATTTCTGATTTTAAAAAACCAAAACAAGTACACTGTCAATGTTGCCAAACTTCAGATAGCTTGTAAAATTACCTATCTGACGACAGGCAAATCCGATGAAATCAGGCACTGAAAATATTTTGCGAGTACTCTCCAGGTCTGTTTTGTCCACCTTAAAAACACAGAGAGAGTAGAAAGACATTTTAACACATAAATTTGAGTATAGAAATGTTCATGCTGAAAAAAATGTGTCCAGTTTTATTAAAGCAATGGGCATCGCTGATTATTCTTTAAAAAATGAAACGAGACATTTTTAATGGATGCAAACTTAAGTTTTAAATCTCTTTTACAATGCTCTGGAACTTCACTTTTGTTTTCAAGGACAGACGGAAAAAAAGAGCATATTGAACTATTTTCCCAATTCAGTCTATTGTATTTATCAAAAAACATACCAAACAGAGATATATTGAAAAGGATATAGATTACGATTTGAAAATACAACAAGACACATTTTTACAAACTTTATTAAAATTTTTATTATTGCAAACAAGGTAATAATAGTTTTACCATTATAAGAAATTGTATCTACTCCTTCAGCTAGATCTTAGGGTAAGTAAGAATAGAATGTCAACCTGGGTGTTACTAATTTGTTTTCCTACAAGAACAAAGAGTCCTTCACCTTTCAGAGTGCTAAATGCCATTCCCAAAGGTTTTTTTACTTATTTGTACCAAAGAGTATTTCTTCTCCTCCGACTAAGGATGAACTTGGAATTACAAGTGCTTTTCCCTTCCTTTAACATTCAAGTACCAAGGAGTTTGTAAAATATATACAAACTGTAAAACTTTTGGCCTGCTACATCCTTCCCTATCTATTTTAACCAAGGGAGGAAACCTGCATAGAAAACTAACTCATCTTCAGCTGCACAGTGGTGATCAGCAATGGCATGTTTGTGAAACTGTTCTGTATTGGTGTGATATTGTGTATTTATGTATAAATTCAAATGTGCATTTATGTATCTATTTCTTATTATGTATTTACGTATGGGTGTTTGCCATTGTAACCCAAATTTCCCTACGTGTATCAATAAAATGTAATTTATTTTCTTTCTATTTAAACACCACTGTACTAATCTTTAGCAGAACCTGCTTCTTTGGAATAGTAGGTGTGCACAGTGCATATATCTCCACACTACCAAGCTCGTCAGTCAGCATCTACATTACTTACATCAAAATAGTTGTTAAAGGCAAGGCGAATACGCAATCTGGCATGATCAGAAGTCTCCACCTGAAAAAGACGTACATAAGAGAAAATGGTCACAATATATGCATTCTTTTCTTATATATACAATAAGTTGGTAATCTGTTCAGAAGATAGTTCTGCCACGATCAAATGATTATAAAGGACTCCGCTCAACTATTTCGATTATGCTGCAGCATGAAAACAAACAAGATGAAAGTTTACCAAACATCTATCGTCCTTATCTCCCCTCCTTCTTTTTTATGTTTTATGTTACTCTCTTGTAACAGCTCTAATCTTCTGGCGCTCATATGACCTTATGCATTTGTGAGCGCCGTAAAACCTCTACTAAAACTAAAAAATACAAGATGAATAATTAGGAAATAAGTGATGAAGATAAAATGTGACAGGTTCTTACCTCAATAACGTCAGTAATGAAATCTGGACCAAGCATGAGGCACAATGATTTCAGTGCATTGGGCAGCTTTGGTTTGCCAGCTGCATAAACAATAAGAAAAGAGAGAATTATGTCAAGTTCTTAGGTTCTGCAAGGTTCTCAACCACAGCTAGAGCTGAGCACCATAAAGAATTTCATTTACAGTTTGATCTTGACTTAAGCTATACATTTTGATAAATGCAGTTATCTTTGTGTTTTCTTTTAGTTTAATTCCAGAGCAGCAAAATCAGTTCGGCACAATATGGTGAAAAGGCTACGACAAAGTGAAAAAAAAATCTAAACAGGACAAAAAAGCAAAACATAAAAAATTGTGCAGAATTTTCCAATTAATACACAATGGGATCACAATGAACACCAAATTAAAATAAAGTATTAACTAAAACATCCCCATAAAAATGATACTCAACCTCATCAGCAATGGGAATGCATGAAAAGCTTGATGTAAAGATCCTTATACAATAGGAAATTCAGGAAGTAAGAATGACTAATAATAATTTTGAGATGTCCAAGAAAAGCTAAATAATCAAAAATGAGTTGTAGTTCTGATACCAATGAGAGTGATATGTCCTTACCAAGTCACAATGCTGTATGTACCCCATGGGAAATGATTGTAAATTGATGTAATAAATACTTGATAAAGAGAATCAGTGCTAAGTTATGTGAGCCAGTCCTGGATCGGAAAAGTAAAAAGTATGTGAGCCAGTCAACTGAATGGATGTATGAATAAAAATGTTCCTATGTCATTTTTTAAAAACTCCCTGGAAAACAAATAATGTGAGAGAAGTTAAAAGGACATGCATGAAGAAAAGAATGACATGTTTGTTCTTTACCGCTCAGACTCAAAACGTTAAAGTTTTCATGAGGCCCCAAAACAACGAGATCGGGTCCAAAGATCACTCGTGCTGTCTTCTGCAGGTAGTCGTAAACCTGCACAGCTGTATTGCTGGGACATCTGTAAGTGACAACCTTCGTTTTGTCCCGTCCCTGAATGGCAGTAGAAAACAATACAGTTTGTTAACACCCTGAGGTAGAGTAGGAGATGAAAGCTAAAAGAAAATAATTTCTTTAAACATTATTTAAGCAATTGAATGCCAACAAATAAAGCTATTCCTGCTTATTCTATTGTTGTTTCCTCTTAGTGTTGAAATACCAATGTACTTGATCCCATTATTACAGCAAATGATATGAATGAGATCATTAACATAGCACCCATAAAAGGTAGCGGGACAAAACAAACAAAACAAATAAAAATGGTTTAAAGTTTTATATCTCTTCACAAAAACAATGTCAATGTTGCCCTATAGAGGACCAAAAAGACTGTATCAAGTCTAATCTTTTTTTGTTATTTTGTAAAATAAGATTACAAATTCAGCATCCATTCACATGAATATTTCTGTAACAACCAACAAATCGAGTCCTGCTGATCACAGAAGTAACTAAATACTTTTTAAAATATTTCAATATCAATACTGACTTTCTGGAACCCTGAGAGGGATTTTCTTTTTAAGATGGCTTTTATGAACTATAATGATAATGTTTTTTCTAGGTGATATAGTATCCCAATACAGTTTTACTTGCTGATGAGTGAAAGTTTATCTTGAGTCCACACAAAATGGCCAGGGGTCGCAGTGAACAGATTAGAATAATATTTCACAAAAGAGTAGATCACATCAGAGCCCTACCTACCACCCTCTACTAGAGCTTTACTCCAAAGCAAATCCTAGATAAGATATAAAAATAAATGAACACTTGAGAAGTGCTTTGTTACTTTCATGAACTTAAAGAGAAAGCAGGAATCTGTATCTTTAGCATTTGCTTGAGCTCAACACCTAAAGAGACACAAACAACTCATATCAAATGAAGACCAACTGGCCAATAGAGCAGAACAGTGGAGAAGAAAGAAAAAAAATAATGGCTTAATGACTATTGGGCAGTTATTCCACTATCAGAGAGGTTACATGTCTGGCTGGCATGACGTGAGTCTATTTGCTATTTCCCAAACCCATCGTAAACGTATCCTTACCTCAGCGTTCATTGGGTCAATAGACTGCTCATAGTAAGCAAGCTTCCTGATATCACCCTCTCCAGAGCCACCACCATGTCTGTAAGATCAAGAAAAGGAGCTTTTTTGCTGTCCTGCATGTTTAGCCACAACTTCTTTATCAAGATGATGTCAACCATGGGGCAGTTTTATTTTTGTTATGAGGTGTCTTAGAAAATAAAGTCAACAGATTCTTCATCATAAGCTCAAAATAACTTAGATGAAGAAACTTAAGCATTTACACTTACATATTTGTCAAATGTTAAATTGGCAAAACACATGGCAGCACAGTGAAATCAGGTGCTTGTCAAAATAATGTAGTCAGAGAATCAGACATTTTTGCCCCCTCTTGGGCAATTTTAACCATTTTTTTCCCCTTTGACTTTTCACATTTTACATGTATAAAGTCACATTTCTGTGTGAATTTAAAGGAAAAAATTTTGATCAAGGCACCAAAAAAGCTCTTTTAAATCAATAAACTTTGGCGGCCATTTTCTCAGTAATATAACATTTAACACCAGGAGACTAACCTCCTTCAATCACAAATACCTGGACTTCAATTCAAGACAAGATAGGTATTTTTTTCATCAAAAGCAAGACAAATGAACAAGTTTTAAGATTATACAACCGACTCCATATGCCCAAAAATTGATGAGTGCCTGATTACACCGCGTCATGACACATTTTTACAGTCTATCTTGTTTAAGTTGACCATCTATTATTGAGGAGAAAAGTGGTCATCTTAGACAGCTGGTTCTCCTGGAGAGTGTCATTATAATATAGATAACAGATACTGGGGGGGGGGGGGGGGGGAGTGGAAAGTGGTTGTTTGAACAGATGATTGTCATGGACAGGTGGTCTTTGAGTGAGCAGATTTGACTGTAGTCTGTAGAAACTGTGAAGTCGCCAGTTCAAAAGTTGTACCTGAGTAGGTTTTCTGTTTCATTACTAAGTTCCTTCTGCCAAAGGTCCTCCGTGGCAGTCAGCATGTAAGCACAGGGGCCCATCACCAAGCGAACCTGACAATCAAAATAATATACACTTATAGAAAAAGAATGAAAAAGGAAGTACCTTTATCCCTGAGGATAGATTTGTTATGTTTTAGTAAGACTTTAAGGCACTTGCAACGAGAATGGGTCATACAAGTGCCAGAGATTAGAGGTGTTAGTTACAAGGGAGTAACAAACACAGAAAAGAAGGAGAGATAAGGGGGATAGATATCTGACGGATAAGGAGGAGCAAACCACACTAGAGCACCCGCCAACCACCCACAAAGGCTTGTTGATTTTTTACAAAATAAACATAACACTGTATATTTGAAAACAATTTCTAAAAAGCACAGTTGGTCTCTGGAGGACAGCAAGTTTTTAGTAAAAATTTTTTATTTATTTATTTATGTATTTATTATTTGTTTGTTTTTGTTTTTTTGGGGGGTGGGGTAAGGAGCCAGAGGACACATCTAGTGGGTACCACCCAAAAGGCTATGATGACATCAATGTCTACACAAAGCATGGTCATTTAATCACTATTCACTCCTCCATTAAAACCGGAGTAAACTTCTCCATGCGACCCTCCTTATATTCAAATATGCAAGAAAGAGTGAGAGGTAAAGACAACAAACTAACATGAATAGTTTCAATAAAAGAAGCAAACTTAAAACACAAGATTAACCAGGTAGAAGGACATAATAAAGCTAATTATAAGATTAAAAATACTGTATAGAATCAAACTAACCATTTCAACTCCAGGTGTGTATGAAAATACCACATTACTCCTATCAAACAAGAGTATATATCGAGAAAAAGCATAAAAAACTAACTCACCCTTCCTGAATGTGCGTCTTGAATATACACTCCTTCATTTTTGCTCAGTGGAATTTTTTTCCTGAAAAAAAAAAGTTTGCAAAATGTGTTAATAACCTGATGAGGCTGAAGAAACTAAAAGTAACCAAAGTCAAGAAGTACATCGAATTCCTTAATCTATGTTTCAGAGGTCAACTGATATTTTCCATGACTTGACGCTGGTCCACTTTATTTGAAAGATGCAGTATAAATATGCAGGGTTTTTCAAGATTCAAACCATAGTTCATTTTTTCATTGCCCACCAGCAAGAAAAACTACCAAACTAGTTCCCATTATAAATGTTCTTTAAGAAATGTGTTATCTTAAAGTTTAACTATGTGTCTTCTATGATTATACGATGTAAGTATCTTCACAACACAAAAAAGCCATATTTTGAGGTATTTAAGACAGTGCAAATTTTACAGATAGCCGTAAATGTTCGTTCTGAAGTAAGTATAACAACATGTACCTCTGCTTAACAATTTTCACATGGATTGGTGGTATGTAGATCATTGGGCCTTTGATGAGCCATTTGTCACCTGGTTCACGCTTCACTTTTGCTGGAAAGGGAAACACAAACATTTAATATCAGCTTGAAAGAGGAAGCATGCAGAACAGATCCCTAGTTGTTTTCTACTTCACTTTCATGTGTAAGCCTTTAAGTCAAGAATAAATCATTTCAACTCCACTATACATCCTCAGCATAAAACCCATACATCTGTAAACATAATTTACTTTTCTTCAGTACTTACAATAGGATAACATCCTTCAGGAAAAAACTACGACATTTTGAAGGCCTGTTCCATGCTGTAGGGTTTATGGATCTATATTCTTAGTATTAAAAAACTATCTGTCAACAGACTGACATAAAAAACAACTGGATAGAAGGCTGTAAGTATAATCAAAATTGTCCATGACAGCCATCCATTGTCGAGGAGAAAATTAGTTGCCTTAGACAGGTACAGTACAGTGTCATGATTTAAAAAGAAACACAAGGGGTGAAGTGGGACGTGATGGGCTGTACAGGTGATCGTCTTGGACATGTGGCCGTTAGAACAGGTTCAACTGCATAGGGAAAAGAAGCCAGCCCTTAGTAGGGAAGATGTGGTGTAGGAGTGACACAGCTCCTCAAACAGTGTTGATTCTCAAGATGGCGTACAGCATACTAGTATCCCCACCAACACACAGATTGGACTGAGCTGTCTTGAAAAATGTAAATGACACAAGCATTAAAGAAATTACAGTTCTTCATCAACCCTCAAGTCTCACTTTCGTTGCATAGCGAATGAACAAACAGAAGACCAACCTTCACCCACAGTATCAATAAATTTGTCCAAAGCTTGAAGGACAACAGAATCATCCTCAGACAGCACTCTTGCATCTTGGATCTTGCCAAATTCAAGTTTTTCACCTGAGGTGAGGAATGTAACAAATGATAGAGTCAAAATGGTCGGACAGCCACCCATTGTCGAATAGAAAAGTGTCTGTCTTACACAGGTGACCGTCTTACCCAGTGCCCTTATAATGTAAAAAAATAACTTTGGTGTGTGTGTG